TGTCTCTGTAACTGCAGATTTAAGCTCCAAACATTGGTAGTAAGGGAGGAGTTTCTCTTTTCATAATTAGAAAAAAAAATTACTATTGCTTCTAAGTACCCTTTGTACAAAAAGTGACACATGTATTCTTTCTTCATTTAAAATTTATACCAAGAAAGAGAAAAAAAGGTAGTAAGATTAAAATTAAAGCAAATCTTCAAACTCTTAGAAGCATTTTTCTTTGCAACTAAGAACTTAATTTTTTCAGATGCAATAAATTTACTGATCAAGGACAGTCCAATTGCATATTGCAGTGACAAATTTATTTGAAATGGAGGAAAGCATTCTTACTGAATAATTTTGACAGGGAAAAAGGGCAGTATCTGTATATGTTTACATCGACACGAAAACAGGACTATCAGTCACGCTACCCATTCAAAACAATTTTCACATCTTTTATTTGGTTTCCCAAACTCAGAAGCTAAGCAGAGGTTAGGGTGATATGAAAGTACAGAGGCCCTACCTAAGTCACTGGTAAGAAGGGGATTAACCTCCTGTTTCGTCTTTTTCTTGTACAAGTGTTAGAAGATAAGGAAGCAGATGTGCAGGCTAGCAGGGACGTCAGGAACACTGCAATACTGCAGCACAGGAACCTGAACAGACCAGGAAAAAAGCAGGAAACTGATTAAGAGTTAACTACAGGGGCGCAAAAAAACAGTAAAGGTGACCAGTAACATGGCAGCTTGCGAAGTTTTTGTACGTACTTGTTTTGCTAACTTTGTGGTAGTAGGCGGCTTACTATATACTTTATTGGATGGACTGGGCCTGAAGAATACATAAAAAGCTTTTACAGTTGCCCAAGACTCATCCTTAACTCTTTGTCCACTTTGTATCACCCCTCTTGTTACTGTCTAGCAGGGCAAGTCAGGCTTCCTTGGCAAAACTCACAGCACTTTTTCCTTTAAGAGCACAGTATTTAAAATACTCGTATTTGAAAAAGAGGCTGATTTACACTAGATGAAACCAAGAGAATAACAATCCTTACAAGCTACTTTACATTTTAAAGCTTATGTTTTATCTTGTGTAGAAGCATCCAAGCGTACCAGGAAACACTGCAAATTACAGGATTACATAATATAGTAGCATTTTACTCATGTAATAGTTTTTCATGAGGAATTACATGCCTACAGACTATACAAACCTCCTTTCAATACTGCATAACTTATCATTACAGCCAAGCTGACAGAGAACCTGACAGCTTAAGATAAAGAAACTTCCCTGCCCAACCAACCGTAATTAAGAGCAACATTTCAAAAAAAGCGACACAAGACAGAAACAATTAAGATAAATTTAAAAAAAATGTTAACTGTCTCAAAATGTTAGCAGCTACCAAGCAAAAATAGCATTCCAAGGATCCAAGGATTTTCACTTTCTAATCTACTATTTAAAGAGTATCTATATACATGCATATGACAGTCCAGTAAGAAAAAGCAACAAGACTCCATTCCTTCATATAATGGTATCTTTTTGCAGACTTTCTAGAGTAATACAACACAAGTGATGTATCCTTGCTAAAAAAAATTGCTGAGCAGTCACTTTTGAGGAGGATGTTTTTTGGACTTGGGGAAAAAAAATTAACAAAAAGCTCCATTTGACAATGGTTAGACGCATTCTTTTCTAGATGGTGATCAGCACTCGTGCCAGGAGAGAAACGTGTAAAAAAACCTAAAAAAAATTACCTGGGTTACTCATGGATAACACTCCAGACCTAACCTCTCACTCTGTCCTGAGCCTTTCCTTTCAACTGTAGACAAAATGCACTACCTGCTCTGTTCGTCCTTCTCATGTTTTGTCAGTCTTAGTATTAGTATGCAGAGGTGTTACCACAGCTTTCACTTTTCAGACAGCGTAACTGAGCACCAAAATAAAATCGATTGCATCTTAGTTGCTGGGTACAACTGGCGGGCTTCAGTCAGAATGAGTGCTCCAATTCCACAGAGTAAGCCACAACAATTTTCCAAGACTTTTTTGGGTTTTTTGCATATAAACATCAAGACTCAAAGATGCACCTGCCAGTAACATTTACAACTATCTGTTCAAAGCAGCCTTTCAGCTAGCATGCGATATTCCCATTGATATGACAGACTGCTGCAGATGATTAAATAGCCCCCTCGTCTCCCGGCAGCAGCACTCCAAAACTCTACCACTACCTTCCCACCTTGCAAGAGCAAACATCAACAGCAAGGGTGATTTTTTCAATTAACTGCTGGACAGTCCTACAATATGCTCTGAGTTTATTACGGTACAACACACCCTTGCTTGGAGCACAGCAGCAAGCAGGAAGAAGTTGTAGAGATTTTACACCCTTTTAAAAGTAGAAGGGATTTTAAGTAAGTCTGGGAAATTCTAGCACAATGAACCCACTGAAAAGATAAGTACAAAATCGGAATCACAATGGTATCTTAATTAGGTGATACAAGGTTATTTTCTTTACTAGGTACTGCATGTTGAAAAACATGAAAGCAGTATCACTGTTTGTTATGTGAAGCTTTTATCTTGTACTGTAGATTAACTACTCTTGTGCTACAGTACTAGTAGGAATAAAAAGGATTACAGGATGACGGTGAGATGCATTTTGAATTCCTGTTAACAAGAAAGAAAAAAACTCACACCTAACTGTTTTTTTAGGATTTTTATTGAAAAACATTAAAACCAAAAAATGACCAAGGCCAGTTTTACAATAAATTTAAGACATACAGAATGGCTTACCTGCAGGAACCTTATTCCAATATTTTTCCCATGCAATTCCTGGATTAAAATCACATTCTCATTTAACATCAAAATGGATTATTGATAATGCTTTCTTAGTATTTAACCTTAAAATCTGGTTTAAAAAGTCAATTTTCCAAAGGTTAAAAACATTTTTACGGCAAGATTGCCCCCTTCACAGACCAGCTACTAGCTTCCTGTGTCTGATAACTGGCAGAAATAGACCAGAGCTAATTTTTCCTTTCTGTTACTCTAACCTGAGAAATTTCTTAAACGCTTCTTACTGGGCTTTCGTATTTGGCAACATTACTTTAGTTACATAGCAAAGTGTGATTTCTCATTCTTGTCAGAGACTAATCTTTCACTACTTATCCCAAAAGACACTCTCACAAACAGGAGTTACATTAGCATAAATCTGCTTCTGTGAATAGTATGCCCTTTTGGCAAGTTAAACCTTGTTAGTAATATCATCAGAACACTAACCTCAGGATGTCAAGTTCCCATCAGTTGTGTAATTCTTAGTATTGTGCGCTTTGAAAATATTTACTTTGGCATGTTATACTTTGTAGCGAAGTTGATTTTTTTTGTGCTTACTCCCCGCCTTACGAAATCTGTCTTTTCTCTCTTCCATTTATTCAAGCCCTTTCCCTTGCCACCAGTTATCTCCCTTTCTCATAGCTGCAACAGAAACAGGACATAAAACACACAAATACATTTAAAATGTGAGATCTAAAAAAGTTGGTGAACAGCAGACAATGGTCTTGTAAAACACTCTTAATTGATGAATGAGCTTGTAAAACATAAACCCCATAAATCTTTTAGTATAGTAGTCAAGCCTTCAATTTTAAATTTGTAGGCTTACTTATATTTGATTTCAAACTTTCCAACATTCAGTGTTTTACTATATTTAAATGTGCTAGTCCCTTCACACTTGCTCCCAATATATATAAAACCAACACTGTCTAAAGAAATTATGAAAAAACACTTGAAACCAGCAATTTAACTTCCAAGAGAATATAACTTCTTTTGCATTTTCAGTAAATTTGTATGTTAAATAATTTGGGTTATTACAAATTGTTGCACTTCAGTTTTACCTGAACTTATCTGATTTTCAAGTGAACTATGATTTCTTTCCAGTTACTAGTTCTGTTTGCCAGACTAAAATTCAAGAGAATATATAAACTGAGCTTTGCTTCATACTCTGCCTATTAAAAACCACTATGCTAACCATGGAGATCAATGAAGTGCTTGATTTGAAAGGTGTAGAAGTCACATATCCCAAGAAATGCTGGATTTTTCTGTTTGTTTCTGTGTAACTCTGGACTATACTGTACTAAAATTAATATTGAAGTGTTTTCAACTTCTCTGCAAACTAGCTTTAAAAGAATGTTACAGGAGATTACCACAAAATAAGATGTGAATAGATACCATATACAGCTGATGCATGACAACCTTTTATTCTACTATAATTTGTTGGCATTTTTGATCCCAAAAGAAGAAACAACAGACTTTGGATTTTCTTAAATGCGTTCATAATCCCGATCTTTTTATTTTCCATCCAATTAAAAAAAGTGTTGAAAAATAAGGAGCTAACCTAACTGTTTTGATAACCCTTAGTCTCACATACATTTTTAATATTATACAGTGAAACTCTATTTTGCGTATCAGCACTGAGTGCACTTTAAAAAGGACCTCTGTTGAAATATTTCCAACAGGTCTTTATAGCACCATATAATCTGCTGTTGATTTAACTGCTTAGAATCAGACTCTTTGTGCCACTGCTTCTAAAGAAAAATGATTACATTTTTATTTCCTCTAGCAGTCTAAAAAAACAATCTAGAAGAAAAAGTTTATGTTATCCAACTGAATGCATGTAAACAATTAATTACTAGACACTCCACTTTCACTTATTCCAGTTTTGGGAAACCAATCAATGAATTGATACATGATTCTTCTGGAATGGCACGGTTTAATTCAGTGGCAGAAAAATCTCATGGACGCATTGAATGAAAATGTCTCTCTCTCACTCTTCACTGAATTTTCAAAGTCTTTTTTTGCAACATTTGATGCTGCCCCTTCTATTACAGCTCATTTTCAATTCATAATAGAGAAAATCAGTGACAAACACAAGAGACCGAGCGCTGGCAAAGCCATAGTACAACACAATAGGAACAGCAAAGGGACGAGGAAGCAAGAGGAAACCAAGGTACCTGGAACAAACTAGAAATACAGCAAACACAAGAATGCATCTTAGCCCTACAGCAAATTTTACATTCTTTCAATACTTAGATTGGTCTGTTTTCAACTGATACACAATTCAGAATTTATTCAGAATTAAAGGAATACACAATGTAATTAAACATGAAGTACATGAACCACTCATGCACTAACAAATGCTGCCATTGTTTTTCCACTGGTAAAGCTGAAGCAAGTGTGTCAGATTGGCATTTGGTTGAAATGAAAGTAATGCTGGTACTTTACCATTTTTGATAATTGTTACCTACAACAGTCAAAGTCAGTGACCATCTACTCAATGTTGCAAAAGGCTTCTTTTCCAAATATGAGTTCCAGTAAACAGAAGTACAAATGAGATCAGTTTGAATACATTATGCAGATTTTTAGACTGCGTATTTCTGAAGAAAGCGGTCAAACGCATCATAAATTGCTTGCCTAAAACAAGGAGAAAAGATCATTTGTATAATTTGGGAAAGGGCAGATATAAGTGCTGTATTTCCATATATTTACAAATACATTTACAAAGCTATCATCACAATTTCAAAACAGCATTCAATAAAAATGTGGTATTAGGTAGTCTTTTCTCCTTCACGTATTTCGGGATCTCTCACTTCAATCCAGTAATATATTTATGTTTCAGGAATGAGTGGGACTGTTTACCAACTTTAATATGAGGGCAAATGGTAATGGACTAGGAGTTTTCTACTCAAACATGTCAGGAAATGGATCAGAGACACATGCATAATTTATAATTTTTGAGCAACTGTCATAAAATAAGTTTTAAAGTTTTAAATAGCAATAAGCTAGTGGTTAGCATACTTTGGCCCAGTATATTGCTATTGCTTTTTGTTGTTGCTTAGACTTCCTAAATGGGACGTACAGTCTTACTAATTCCTTACATTTTAAAATTAACAGCACAAGTATTTAACTTATTAAAACTAAGGAACTGCATTTATATAACTGATTTATATAACTGTCTTCAGAAAGTCAACGCCTAGTATTACTAAGGCAAGAATTCATGCAAGTACTACTCATTTGCAGTCAAGCTTATATTTTAATTCTCATCTTCAACTGCATGGTTTTTTTAATTCTCAGAAGACAACATTTGCAAAAAGACAACAGCTGCGCAATACGACATAAGCAGTCACTGCTTAAAAAATATTTTCTAGTGTCCAGTGAACAAACTAACTAAAAGCTTTTGTAGGAAAACAAGAGTGAGAAGGATCATTCTCTTGCCATTGGCTTACTGAACAATCCGAGCTTGCTGCACCTCATCTTTGCTCATAAAATGGAAATGCTGACATTCTCTTTAAATTATTTCAGATACGATAACTTGTTCTTCAAAGCAATATTTGGTATTTGTTGCTTTAGAGTAATTATAGACTTGCTTTTAGAAGAAAAATTATGTGTCTCAAAATTATGGTTTTAAGCTCTCAACTATTTTTAAACTTTCCTGTTTACCTTACCTAAAAAGTCCTTGTTTGAAGAGGTAGGCACTGACATGACCTCCATCCAGATACCTAATTTCACATCCGGGCCAGATTTCTTGAAGACTGCGCACCCCAGTTCGAGGAATATACGCATCCTCCTTAGCTTGTACAACTATGATTAAACTTGGGTCAACTGGAACTAAAGAAAAACAAATCAAAATTGAATTCATCTAAGGTAAGAAATAGAAACACGTCAGCTGAAATTTCTATTGTAAAACTGCTCTCTATTTCTAAAAAAATTAAAATTATTCTAATCTTTAATAAAATTATATTTTCTAAAGTCTCCAGCAGAATTTACCTGGTTTTTGACATTACAGTAGTGAGGCCATCAGTAGAAAAACAAACTAATCAATCCCCTTCCCTCCCCTAAAGCAGAAAACTTCACAAGTCTTTGAGGAATGATAGGACAATTGTCTTCCCTCTTATCAACAACTCTACAGCATTCAGGTCAGTTCCCTGAGATCTCTTTTTTTCAGCGAAAAGAACTAGTAGACACCTGAAATTCAATAGAGTAGAAGCTTCGTATAATTTTTTCCCCCAAGGAGAGGAAAAGAGACAACTTTTCATACGAGAAGTCAAAGTGCAGTATATGTTCACTTTCTTTTCTGTTTCCTACATGTTTTGGTTGCAACATAAAAATCCCTACATGTTGTTATATATATTTATTACTCATAACCAGAATTGCACCAATCAGATTACTGACTAGCAGGAATAATACCAAAATGATGTTGAGAAAAATAACACCAAAATGATGTTAAACACAGAACAGTCCTCTCTTCACAAAGAATATATGTGGTTTGGTAAAGAGTGAGCAGCCAAGATCTTTGACAATGGGGTGTCACAAATAATTTAGACCCCCTCCTTTCATATATACTAGATCATGTATAGGGGATATGTAATGCTAAGATAGATTCTAGTCTTCCATTCAATTTTCCATGAAATCTTAACGTTAGGCTGATTTTCTGAAGCTTCTTTCTAGACACACTCCAAGGATACCCTGGCAGGGGATGCAATGTCTCCCAAAGCGTGAAGAGACCTGCGAGACAATTGATACGAAGGACCACATCACTTTTACAAGTGCATTAGGATGACAGATCTTCTTAAGTTCCAAGAAAGGTCAATGCTTTAGCTAAGTGATATCTGGATAAGTGTCTAGATAAACAAGAATGTCTGTACTTAGAATAAAGTTTACAGGTTTTTTTCTGTCTGCTGAAATAACTGTTTAGCTTTAAGGAAAGCACTTCACTGGTATTTGTCACAAAACATCCCCAGCTAGCAGTGATCTGGGACATTGTCCAAGAAATCTATGCTAGTGTAGAAAACTTTGGATTTTTTTTTTTAACATTTACCAGTGGAGTACTGAATGCCAGAATTAAAAAATGAGGTTGCACAGCGTCTCAGAATCAAGAATGTTTTGACATTCAAAGACAACTGTGCCAGAAACCTGTCTGAATTCAAAGTATGTTCTAGGACATGTTGAGAGTCCTCTGTGGGTATGTGCACAGTTGAACCACTTTGTCTGAACAGACTGCCACAAAAGCCATTCCAAGTCCCCACTCCAGCAAAACCCTTTCAATAACTCTAGGATGAAATCACTCGTTTGCATTGCCTGCAAGTGGGCTGTTGAAAGGGATTTGTCCTAGACGCCAAGAAACCCAGGTTCATCAGATTTAAGGCTTGCTGGGCTACAGCTCCCTCTATATGCTACGCCTGTCTTGGGAAACAGTACATTCACCAGACTGCATCGTCCCAGAAGGACCTCTGTGAATTTTAGTGGTCACACTTGTCTAAAAGTATCATTCAAGCTTGGTTCTCAGCTATGTAGGCTACTTTCTATCTGAAGTCAATATCGGATTTCTGCTTTGTGAGATTTACTCGAATCTGCTTGAAAAACCTTATTAGCAGATTAATTAGAACTACATAGTACTCACATCACACAGATGCTTTGTTCTTTTAAATATGCACTAAATATGTTCTTTTAAATATGCACTAAATCATATCTGAAAATAGCCACAGCAAGGCAGAGAAAAAATGAGCAAAGATACTGAAAGGCAAATTTTTAATTCACTTTATCATTAGTTGGCCATTAAGAAGAAACAGAAAAACAATTAGGAAATGGAGTGGTAAATAGATGCTACTGAATAACATGGAAGATATTTTCATATTTCAGCTAAGGTGCCAGCAGGTTTACAAAATGGAGAATGAAGAAAATACCTTTCCTTCCATCGTATTTTATTCAGTTTTCCAAACTGCACGTTAGAACAAATAAATACATACCTGAGAAGTTAGCCACATGGGTACATTCATCCATTACTCCTTTCATGAACCTTAAGGATTCTCTCTGTAAAGTGTCACTCTTTCTTCTTTTATTTATCCTGTATTCTTGTAGGCTGGTTAAGTTTTTATTGCTACTGCTACTGGTTGAAAATGTTTGATTTATGCACTGCATTTTAGGAGCATCTTGTATTAAGAGTCTTTCTGATGAGGCACTTAGAGTACTTTTATTTGTGGTAAAGCTGTGAACAGCTTCTTTAGATACAGTCTTGTTTGAGGAACTAAGGTCGAACATTCTGGAAGTCATGTCCAGATCCTCCAGACTGTCCACACTGTCAGGGAAGTTTTTAACAAAGTCTTGTCCCATCTTGAAAGAATCCGTCTAAACAAAGACAACAGGTCATTTATTAAGGGTTTCTCCTTTAAACCAGTTGGTTAATCTTATTTTTAAGATCAAGTCAATATGAAAAAAAAAGATAGAAACAGCACTGCTTACAGTACTTGTTATTTTCAGCCTGCATGTCACTCAATTAAATCCTCATCATCATAACCTCTTGATAATTTCATTCTACATTTCTGTCAGCTTAAAAAATGCAGGAAGTACTTATATATGGTAGCTTATGATACAAACATTTGTTTTTAATTCTATATTAAACTCTCAATTTATAATTGCAGTCGTTTAAGCTTAAATTTCTGGGCAATAAACATATGTGACCAGGTCTAATGTTAGGTTTTGGGCTGAAAAATCTACTGTCTCTAAATACTAGGAAGACACAAACGGAACATCTTGAAATGTTTCTTCTTTTCATTTTGTCTGCTCCATCAGTGTTCCTGGAGTGTATTTTACTTAAAAATGGCAAGCACCTAAGTAACTATCTCCACTCCAGCCCCTCTTCTCCTGTCGTAGAGATATTGGGAAATGGACTGTCACAAAGCAAAGAATCTTAGGAAAAAACTTATTTATCAGAATTGGCTAGAAGACAGTGTTGCAGCATATAAGCAATTCTCAGAAAGTTACCCCTCCAATCTAAATTCCCCTTGGGAAGAGTCTTTCAACCCCAGTCAAAAAGAGTCAAGAAGAAAGCAAAAAAAAAAAATGGAGACAATAAATGATATTTCGTAAGGTGCAAGAAGCTAATTACGAAAGCTCTACCTCATATTTATCTCAACCTCCTGTGCAATAAAAGTCTAAAGCTGAGGGAGGGCTAGCATCACACATAGAAACAGAAATATAGAGACCTAGCACTCTAAACAAACTAGAAAAGTAACTTAATGTTGCTACGTATTAAAAATATTCTACAGCATTGAATATTTGGAAGCTATTGCTTCAAAGGGCAATAAATCATGTTTTTATATTTACACGCCAGGCTATTGGTTTTCCAGACTATAAAGCCAGTTATTGGGAAATATTATCTACAGTTTCAATGTTTTGATTAAATTCATTTTATGTTGCAGATTACACTAAGTGTGGTCACAGAAAAAACTTGTAGTAAGGGCTATACTTAACACACATTATACAACCAAAATAGTAGCTTCTGTTTTTCAGAAGGTTTCCTTCAAAGATTAAATCTATCAAAAGCGTAAGGAAAACAGGCAAACATGTTTTAGCTAACAATTGGCTACTTCTACTGCAAGTAAAATGAAGTTATATTATTTGTTAGATTTGCACATGTAAATATTAGCAAATAGGGAAAATAAACTATACTTACTCCACAGTATTCAAGCATTTGAATGATTTCTTCTTCATAAACAGTTTGCGTAAAATACTGTTTCTCTAGCTCTCTCCAGTTCACTGCCTTGCTCAACACACCCTGAGATCATAAACACAAGCGTCCAGTACACAAGTAAAACCCAGAAATCATTCTAAAATAACGATATACAGAGAAAATGGATCTGTTCCTCTCTGTGACTTGATTTTTCCAGCGGAATTCTGCCCAAGTTTCCAGATAACCCTTAGAATTACTGTAACCAAAGCATAAGCACATATTATAGCACAGGACATGGAAACCCACCTTCCTTTAAAAAACAAACAAACAAAAAAAAAGGAGAAAGAAGGCAGAAAGCAGTCCCACTTGGGGTTTACACACATCTAGACTGGGCTAAACCAATGGTGGGTGTCAAAGCCAACCTATTAATTGACCTACCCCGGCAGCAGTAGTGAAAACAGGTACCCCTATGGTAGTAGCAGCATTATTACCCAACTATTTAAGCCAGGCTTTGAGCAGAAGAAAACATGTTTTCATGGCTTGCTTCCTCACCTTCCCACATTCAAACCAGGACTCTAATCATTGTCCCACAAATCAGACCCTAATTTGGTACATGACCACTGAAGTAGCTCAAAGCTACCTTCCTTATCATGTGTTGTATATCCTGAGCAGGAGGGGTGGGTTTTGCCACTAGTCACTAATAGAGGCCGAAGGGTGATGAAATGCCCTAACTGAAAAGGTGAATATGGCCAACCCAAACCTTTTAACTTACATACCTGATTACACTCTAGTATATTAACAAAAATATATGTTAATTACCGTAGTAAAGACTGCAGAAGCTGTTGACCAGGAAAGACACGGAATCAATGGCAATGGTTTAGGCCAGTTTGTCACTGCCAGTGAAGCCATCTAGAATCAAAGGCACTTATTACATATTTCAATATTGAATTCACAATATGGTCAAAAGAACTCTCTCACCTTCTATTTATTTGTTTATACAGTATCAAACAAATACACAGTGCTAAAGCAGTTAAGGATATACTTTCACCTGTTTAGAAGGTACAGCCTGTTCTTCAGTGATTTCCCTAACAATAAACATTGCCCTGGATAGGACTAATTTCAAGGCTGAATGGGTTGTTGTAAGAATTCCCAATGGAGTATTTATCCTGACCTTTTAGTTGTGAAAAACATCTATAAAGCCTTTTCATCAAGCTCTTGCAAGCTTATTTCAAGGCAAAATGGAGGCAATCTACGAGAAGGACTATTTAACATTTTATACTTTCTAAATTTGTATACTGGAAACAAAATGCGGAGGAGTACCAGAAGTCCTATAAGTAAGTCAGGCCTAGCCAAAAATGTATCTTCCTGGACTAAGAAAAAAAAATTTCAAAGGACTTTCCAAACTCACTCTCTCAGATCTTGCCTCCTTCTATACCCATGCTGTATATGACCATTGGTATAGGATACAGTACTCCATAACTCCAGTTATTCCCATAGCATTTGCACAGCATTTGAAGAGTCCTGCACGGTTAGTGGTGCATATACCAGTTTGAGAATTCCAACCCAACTTACAAATAAGACAGGGAAGACATGTTTAACACAAAAGTTGTTGTTTCAGCAGGGTGATACTTATGTAAATCAAAGGTGTTTTGTACATTTACAACATTTAAAGTTACAAAATTGTGCTTTGGGGGAAAATTATTTTCCTTTCAGTAGACACTACCATTACCAACATTATTTCTTAGCTCCTAACAACAAACAAACAAGGATCAGCAAAACAGAGGTATGTTGTTTTAACAAGCTTTGTACCTATGTCTCACAGAGCAATGATTATCTGTAGAGACACAAGCAGTAATATTTTAACTGTGTGTTAGTCTTTCAAGCATCTTACTAATACACTGCTGTTTTAGTTTGATTATGCACAATGTCATACACAAAATATTATCCACCTCACCACAGAAACCTCTGATCAATACCAATGATCGGGGAAAAAAAGGTGAGTTGAGAACATAACCAACACCAGAAGTCACCTCAATTACAACATGCTTACAAAGAGGAGGCATTTCACACAATGCATTCAAAGACAAAAGTTTAAGCAAGAAGAATGGAGGAAAAGAGGGAGAACTAGCAACTGATCAGTACAGACCTTCTTTCAGAAAACATTTCTTACCCCCCTCCTTGTGGAAAAAAAACGTAATTATGTCAGAAACTTATATTCTTAGTAAGCCTGTCGGGAGATGGCTGACAAAGGGCTCTATGATTTGTCAGTACTTATTGAGGATTATACCTATTCAGCACCACAGAACATGAGAATTGCCAACAATTTGTTTCTCATGACTCTAAATGTTTATTTTAAAGTACTTCTGAGAGGAACACTATAAAACAAATTATTTCTGTATGCTAAATGATCAAATGAGAAGTTAAAACAAAAATTACTGAACAGGAAATATAAAAGCTTACATGTCCTCCCATGGATATTCCAGTCATCCCTAGCGGTCCATAGCCTTCTCTCTCTAGCCAGTGCAAAAGAGCTGCCGATTCTAGAACAAGAGCTCCTCCCATCACAAACAGGTCCGAGACATTTTTTAAACATGACCGTCTTTTCTCCCCAGAAAAGGAAAATATAGGATTTATTTTCTAAGATTAGATTTTGACAGTTCTCATCATTCTATACATACTTTCATACAAAGCCTGATCACAATCCCTGAGAATTTTGGAGCTGAACTCCTGTTAATTGTCTGGCACTTGTACTTTTTCATCTAAATGAGGACTAGAAATAGACACCTGCTAAGCTTCTAATGTAATATCACTGACAGCCTGGTCTTCTAGAAACAGTAATACCAACATCAGAATCTCATTAGTAGTAATCTTCTAGTAAAGTTATAATGGATCTTTTAGAAATAGAATCAAAGTGATACAGTCCTGGACATACACTATCTCATTTGCAGAAACAATCCTTTTTTTTTTTTTTTTTTTTTCTTATTTACCTGTTTTACATCATTGAAAAATTGCACACAACATTTGAAGAGCAATCAGTATGTCAGCTTTGGAAGCACTCATCAGTGTCACTCTAAGACTGAAATTGTAAAGTGGGAAGTTTGTCACGGTACTGAGAAATTCATGTAGTGTACTTCAAAGCATTAAAACACAGCAGAAACAAAAAAAAGTAGAAAGCTATTCAGCTGAACCATCAGAGGAACTCTAAAAAGTGGGAAAAAAAAAAGTATTTTACAGAGTAATTAATACACCTCTAATTTGGGGAGGGGGACTGTGTATTTTCAGTATTGCACAGTCAGGTTATAAAAGGCTACTGGCCTCTTCTGCCAGCATACAGTCACATTTGAGACACTCTGAAGCACAAGGACAAAGCTTACTGTGCAAGCCACAGGAGAATGAACATAGCTGCTGCAGACCAGTATTTATAGGCTAATGTAATTCTTTCCTACAGCTTTGTTATGAGATTCCTCAGCCCTCTCCAGCTGCTCTATTTATTAAACACTGTTACTAGCACATTAACTAAAACCACTGCCACTGCTTTGTAACCTTGTATCGAAGAATGACAATTACTGGTTGGGGCATTAGACTGAGCACTCCCCTTTCAAAGAATCCTGCCCTAATCACGCATATACTAAGCTGTCAAGCTGGACAACTGAGAACAGAGTTAGACATATCCTCGCCAAAATATTTAATTTATTCTTCTGCATCAGATCCCAAATAACTGGAAAAAAAACCACCAATGGATGTATTCCAGCACACACTCTCTCCTGTCACTTTCTTACAATCTTACACTTCTAAATGCAATAATAAATATACAGATGTTTAAGCAGTTCTCCTATCACAAAAGCAATTTTACAACAATCATCTTAGTTGGTAAATGTAATTCACTTTCTTTAAAAAAGTGGTTCTTATGTCAAAATAAATAAAATTCAGCATCTGCTTTGAAAAAAAAACCTAGAAACTATTTTTGAATTCAAATTTTCTCCTTAAAAGTAATTTTTAAAAGCTTTTGGATTTGGAAGACCAAATACTGGAATCTAAATAAAATATAGAAAATCTAAAATGCTGTAGTGTGAGACACTGTTCCTGGTGACGTCCTAATAGAATGGACATGTTTAAAAATAAATCACCTTCTATGCATCTTCTACTCATGTTAAATGTCCAACTTAGGATTAAAACACCGACTCATATTTGGACTTTAAGAAATATTAGTTAAGAAATATTAGGAATCCGACTAAAACCACAGCTTTGCCTCAGACACATATCCTGTTGAATTCTGTTTATACTCCAGTGGTTTGGAAAATGTGAAAAGCAAAAAAACAGGACTGCCTAATTAGGCTGCTAAATTCACATTTATGAAACTGAGGGAGCAAGTCCTGTAAAATACTGAATATTGCATAGTTTCCACTGACTAACAAACAAGCAACACCAGATTTATTTACATGTCTGACTGCAAATCCTTAAAATATCTTGGAGAAGCAAAATCTTAGCAATTATAACAGGAAAATACACTATCTGACCAAAGATTATTCACAGTTGACTGAAATATAATTGCAGCATTTGTACATGCACAGTTGTGAATCAGGAAAATAAACCGGTTCTTGCTTGCAATCACACAACTTGCTTGCGTCTCACTCTATACTGTAAGTTCATCTTGTGCAAACTTTCCTGATCACTGTGATCTCTTAACACCAAAAATGACAAAGCAGTCTAGCAAAGGGTAGACAATTTCACATTAGCAGGTTACAAGTAGTCCATGCTTGGATTTTTTTTTTTCTTAATAAGCTGTCCGTGCTTGGGATTTATTTTTCTTAATAAGTTATCAAAGTTTATACTACTTTGAGCTTCTTGAGAAAAAAAAAAAGTGGTATTTCAAAAAGACAGTAATGAATGTAACAGTAATACTTACAATTGATCCTTAGGTTTTCTACAGCCATGTAGAAGACTCAAGTTAAAGAAAGTAAAAAAATTCTATATAAAAAATGGCAATTAAAACAAAAAATAAAGTAAAATAAAATAAAATAAATCACATATATAAATAGCATGGATTAATTAAAATTTGGAACTTAAATTCCAAATGTTTAACTGGAACTAAATCAAGTTAAATGCAGTCTGATGATGTAGTTTGCAACATAAGATTTTACTTTTTTCAGATATATGGTAGGAAAAAATTGTAACCAGAGATCGTATTTAATAAAACAGAGTAACAGTGTTATAGAAGTTACTGATGAGTTGATGACAGGACAGAACTTAACTTTTTTTTAAAAAACAATACTTAAATGGTAGCGGTAAGTTTCTCAAAAGTACCTGAGGTACCAAAGGGTTGCATTTGAGAAGGGAAGACAGGAGAGGCAACTTTCTTTTGTGTCATTAATACATCCAGAGGTCACACAGTATGATGTAGAATGAATGCATAGTTTTCACTCTGTCATGGTCAAAGAATCCTATCAGTACTTCGATCAGTACACAGATTCATATCAGAACTTCTACTCTAATGACTACAGTAAGAAGCTGTAGAAGACATTTTCAAAAAAATCAGAAAAGCGGTACTTGGTGTAAAAGTAGCATATTATAACAACTGTGTTCCACATTGTGTTTCATGCAATGGTCATACTTCGCTCTTTGCTTCTCTCCACTGAAAAGTCCACTGGAAATTGATCCACAAAGCAGATATTATACCAGTGTGGTAAGTCCTCTACCTTCTGGAGAGAACGTTAAGAATAACCATCGTGCTTTCCACAAAAGGATATAATAAGGATTTTCTAGCAACAGGGAAGCCATACAAGCTTCTTTAATCATCGGGCGTGCCATTAACGTCCGTCTCCTCCAGAAGTGCTAAAGATAAGATGTTCAAACATATATTAAGATAAAATCTGATTATTTAATTTCTTGATAACAATCAATTTTGCATTTTACATACTCACATGATCTCCAGTGCCTGCTAAATGAATGCACACAGGTCTGTGCTTACTATTCCATCTTCTGGGTATGATAAACTGAAATCTATGAGAAGCAAACACCTATTTTAGCAAAGTAAGTGTATCTATTTACAAGCTGTGCCAGAGAAATTATTCTGGGGAAAAAAAAAAAAAAAGAGAAAGGAAAAGACAGAATAAAGTATTTTCGTAACCCATGCAAACTGCCAGCGATTCAGCAATATCATTTTTCATAAACACATCCAGCAAAGAAAGGAATCCGAAAGTAGGACAGAATAAATGCCAAACAAGAACAGGAGCCAAGCTGAAAGATCATGTTCCTAAAAAAGACCACTGCCTCATCATCACAATTTAAATTTTGTGGAGTGGAGAAATGGAACTTCAGATGAAGAGCAGCCTAAACAAGAATGACTAGCTCTCCTAGGCAGCATTGCTATTTTTCTCCTTGAGGGCAGAACAGGTGAAATTGAAGATTAAGATGAGCAATATACTTAAATTAAAAAAAAAAATCAAAACCCCAACATAAAAACCATGGAAGTATTCTATACACCCAACATCAACCACTTAATGTCTTCTGCTGCTACTCAAGTTATTTACAGTCTAACTACTGGGAAAAAAAAAAATCACTTCTGAGCCACTAGTATTTCCCCACAAGATGGAGCACTGTTACCTACAACAGAGTTACACTTCAGAAAAAAATATTCACACAATACACGACGATCTTAAGGGAAATTTGTAGAGCATTTCAAAACTGCAACAATACTGTCCAATTAACAATTAGCATAACTTGACTACAAACTGCAAGAGAACATAGATAAGGAAACAATCAGTATAGTATATTTTCCAGTATGGTACTAATTAGTCCAATAATGTTAAGAGACAGTTTCTTTCTCTAACCAATGGAGAGGTGGAAGAGAACTGATATTTTGACTATCAAACTTTTTCTGACATTCCTTAGTGTTACATGTTTAAGTACACATAAAAACACCAACCAGTAATATTGATAAAATTGACAATGCCAGTATCAACTTGAGCTAACAAACTTTTATGTTTAACATTTAAGTTATTAAACAAAGCTTGGAAAAAAAATTCCATCATGAAAGTTTAGCTCAAAACTAAAACCAAACAGAAATTATGCTCCCCTGTCAAACCCACTCCTCAACTGCAAAGAAGTCTTAGTGTGAAACCAGCAAAAATGCCATTAGCTATCTCCTGACTATTAGGAATCACACAGCTTTCTGTGAGGATGCTTTTTTTTTTGGCTTGCCAAGTAAGAAAGGCACCAGATTCTCTTGCTACAATTAAATGAACTTACTACTTCAATACACATACAATATTTTTGTATTCATAGAATCACAGAATAGTTTGGG